AAAAAAATTTTGTTTTTCTGTTTTTATTGTTATCACAAAATGATAACAAATAAGTCGAAAAAAAAAAAAAAGAGCAAAGAAGAAAAAGCAGTAAAATAAATTGACCTCAGAAATCCAATAAAATAAGAAGTTTTGGTTAATTTGCAATAAAAATTTGCTTCTTTTTGCTTGTCAAAACTGCTTGCTCACTTCAGTTCTATGGAAACATAACGCAGAAAAGTCAGTGGCTTTATCATCTTGCTTTTACTTTTCTTTTTTCATTCCTCAACTTAAAAGTATACCTTTGGTTTTTAATTTTATTCAAATAATTTCTGAGCAACAAAATTTAAAAGTTGACAAATTTTCAGTCTTTTGAGTTTTAATCTGAAGGAAGCACTTGTTCAAAATAAAAAGATTTGCAAAAGAAGATGATATGTTACAGTTTTAGAATTTCATAAATGCCATAACTGCGTTCAACAAAAAAAGTACAGCACATCGATATGATTATGATAGCAAAAAAAAAAAAAACTTAAACCCAAAACTCCCAAAAGTTCCGCTTTAATCATTCACAGACATTAGAAATACAGCTCACAGCTTCTTCTGTCGTCAAACGTGGTCTGTGGTCTAACTTGCAAAAAACTGATGAGAGATTAACAGTAATCATTTCAGTGGTTCACAAATACATTTCCTGTGGTGTAATTTATCTGCTAAATGGTTGACCATGGTTCAAAAAATGATGCTTAAATAAGAAAAAGCTGAATTGCTAATAATGGACTATTGCCTTCAGTTATTCTCTGTTCAATGTCATCGTCGTCGTCGATAGCCACAACAACGGCCAATTACAATGACGATCCTTATTTATGATATAATTAAAGACTTCTTTACCATTGAAATCTTTGAACTTCTCAAGCTTCTGCTTTTTCTTACACTTCTAGAAGCTTGAATAACTGCTGTCACTACTTGCTTCAGAAACTTGACATCTTACACTCAATATTCATAAAGCTATTTTTTTTTTTTGGCGAAGAACAAGATAAGAGTTAAGTCAAAAAAAAAAAAATACAGACAAAAAAACAATTTTTTTAGACTGTTTTATTTGCTAATTTAGCACTTTGACCAAAGTGATCAATGATGCAAAGAAAGAAAAGATATTTACCGTTTTATGTACACTTCTTTCTCCTTTTTCTTTTTTTTGCTTCTTCAGCTTTTTTCCTCTATCTTATTGTTCCTTCTCTCTTTTATTTATTTATTTATTTTTTTTTTTTTGCCTTTGTATTGAACAAATTTGCTCTATATAGTTAAAAGCTGCTAAACATTGCAGCCTTTTGTTTTTTTTTTCTTGAAGATTTGCCAAATTCTGTTTTGATTTTTTCAAGCAATAAAAANNNTCCGTAAATATCGGAAACTGTTCTTCCTATTGTACTTCAAATTTTTAAAGAAATGCTGTTTTTCTAGCTACTACTTTTTCTTTTTTTTTTCCCTCCC